CACCAGAAAATCCCATTCAGGATGGGAAATGATGTGGCCCTTGTGATTTCACTGTTTTTTCCATCATATTTCAACATGTGGATACCCTGCCCATCAATTTTATTTACTGCACACTATTCAGGTCCTCCTGAGTAGACAACCATATTCACTTTCCTCCTGGTGTTGTGCTCGGCACTATCCTATTTAACGGTGTTATAACCATAGAGAAAACATATTACTAGGGATATTCTTTGTGAATAACACATTCTTTGTGAATTTGGGCTGTTGATCTGAAAACACTGTAATTCTATCACCCTCTTTCTTCTTCCTTCTCAGGCTCTAAACTATCTGGGAGAAAGAATATGTCTTTTCACTTGTTTTCATAACACGAAGCACAAACAAGTTCTGATTAGTAAAAGTTTGTCAGCATTTCTGCAATAGAGGGTTGTTTATTCTTGCAGTAATAGTGTGATTTCCTCAGTTGCTGCTGTTGTTATAAATGCTTCAGCTTCTGAAGACTGGGGGTTACTCTTACTCAAGAATTTCAATTTTTATTAAAAAAGAGGATTCCAGGTTGTCACATTTGTGGTTAAATGCTTCAGAATGTGACACTTGGTGTTTGAAAGCTAGATAACAATAAAAATCACATGTTGATGTTTTTAAAAACTTCCATTTTTTAACTAGATATCACTATTTTTTTCAGGTGGAAGGGAGAAAATTAAGTCCTATTCATACTTTTTTTTCAATTGAGAATAATAGTCAAAACGCAATTCTAATATAAGGAAAATACTTTGTTTCACTGTTAATTTATACTATTCCCATCTTTGATACTTACCAATTGGAAACATTTACCAGCGGTCAATCCAGTGATTATCTGGACAGGATGCTTATTTGATCAGGGCAATCTGTTGAACATTAAACAATATTTGAAGCACGGTTAATTATTTGCACTGAATTAGCTCACCCTTCAATGATTGTGGCCGGTCTGAAAAAACATAGGCAAGAAGAAAAAGCTAATTTTGAGAAAAAATGAGCGTAAGGATGGTTAAGAGTGCTTTGACCCTTCGGGTTCTTCCACTCATCGTTCTCCTAGGGAACACACATTTGTGCGTAAGTATGTTTTAATATTGCTTTTCTTGCCACGGGGCAGCCGTGCTCCTTGCTGAGCCCTTCCCAGGCAGCTGGAGCATTTAGTTGAGTATTTCAGGACAGTGAGGTGCCCAAGTAAACACAGAAGAAGAGGGAAGACCCCCTATTTTCTTTTTGGAGGAGATATCTACAGTGACAAGGAATGGCCCGTCCCAGGGGTGTGTGGTGGGGAGTGCAGCCCTGGGCACTGAGCGATGCTCCAAATCGCTGGGCTGCTCATCGTCGTGCTGGAGAGACAAGAGAGCAGGATTAATCAGGTCAGGGGTATGCGCTGGCTTGGCAGTTTTGCAAGCTCTTTCACCGATGGTAAATTTTACCCCAGCCATATGTTTCGGATGGCTGAATTATCATTTCTGCCAATGTGGAAGGAAACTTAACAGCAAAATATTCAATACAGCTAGAGATGGCCAGAGCCCTGCTCTGGCAGAGCTTGAGATACTTTCCCAAATCTATTAATCTCCTCTTTAAAGAAGACTGAAAGAATGACTTGTAACCAAAACAAAGTTAAAGGTCAGTTTTAAAAATATTTCTTTTGTTCCTCCAAGCACTGCAATCAAGTAGATTTTCTTATGAAGGAATTTGAGGTACTTTCAAACCTCAGTTTTCTTAATGATGGTTCCTATGAGTGCAGGTTCGTATTCACTGAAATGGGTTGCAAAATTTCAGTTGCTGATATCTTAAAATTGAGACCTTTAGGAAAAATATGTAGCAAGGGGTTCTAATGGGTTATAGATCTTTTTGAAGAGCTCCATGAATTCACAATCAGTGACATTCATAACACAATAGGGTATTTATTAATTAGTGTATCATCAAGACTATCTATCCACTGACAGCAGTGGATATGGCATATCTAATCCACCGGTAGATGTGGCAGCTTACCAGGGGATCCATTCTAGGATAGTTCAGTGCCAGTTTTACAGGCGTTGTGGGAACCCAATCTAATATAAATAAGCTCATAATGAATCATTTGTGTTAATTCACACTCAGTGAGGAAGATGTAGGTGCAGTCTCGGGCAACAGAGTCTAGCACAGATTTTTCCTAGCTGGTCCTAAATGTCAGATTGATTCATTAGCTTTGATGATCCTAAACTGACTTTGCTCTAAATACGGATGTGGAAAATGTAGCATATATCTCCTCCCGCCCCCGAAAATTCATTAACATTGCTAAAATGCAAAAGCAATTCTGCTGTCACTGGAAAGCAGCACGACAGAATATTCAGCAGGCTAGTTTTTAATAAAACATGTTTTTTCTTCATAATTAATATAACAAGGTTTTCTGGCTTAGCACTTGGCATGAATCCCAGAAAAAAAAAGAGGGGAAGGAGTCGCCGTGACGTGACCATTGTATGACAAACATGTTATAAGAGGACATTTTTGCCTTAATGATGTGTTCCAAAGAAAAAGTTATACTGAAATAGTTGGAATGAAAAAAAGAATAGACTTTGCGCTTTGCTGAAACCATCGAAAACATCCTTAAATTCCTTTTCCTATCCTTTTCCAGAACTCTTTATCATTCTCATCTTTATTTGAATCTGGTTTTAGAGATTTTATAAGTTACACTGTGATTAAAAAATGTTATTGGTGAAATATAACAACAGTCAAATGCAGATTTAGGCAGTAGCTTGTATCAAATCAGTCAAAACAACAGGAAAGCACTCAGACATTCATGGGGCAGGTGGATTTGGAACAGGAGGTTAAGGCAAAAATTTCTGTTAAGTTCTTTCACATTACCTGAAGAGATATTGATTTCACCTGCCTGAATCCAAACTATTTCCACAAAAGGCAGGAAGCTGCATGATGGGTGCAAGTGAGACAAAATCTGGTCCTTTGTTTTAGCATATGTGATGTTACTGCATCCCAGATCGTCTTCAGACATGGCAGGTCTCAGGTTGGGCGTTTTTTTTTGCTTTTGAGTACAGTAGGTCCTCACTGGTATACACGCAGCATTGTATGAACAGGAGCCTTTAGAGAAATCAATATGCTTTTGCACAGCAAGATGGTGTAGTAGAAATGTGTCTGCTGTAAGGTGGTGTATTGTTAAGTATTCCTTACTTTGCCAAAAACAAACCCAAAGAGCTTTGCTGCAGCAGGTTTTATCAACATTTGGACACAGCCATTCAACTGCCTATCCTCCCTGACTCGGGTTTGTATTGAAGCAACTTTTCTGAAATACACGTAGATCTAAATGTGTGCTTAAACATTGTGCTGATTCGGGCTAGAGAAATCTGCACAGGATGAGACCAATTTGGGTCCCACAACACTCCAGCGATGGAGCTGCATCTCCCATTTAATAACTCTCTAAAGTGCTTCAGCCCATGCTAGCAAGAAAAAAAAAAAAAAAAGGTGACTTTTAAATCAACAGATGTTCAGATCAGGCTTTTTTCCTCGTATCATTGCTCCCTCCAAACTCAACACCCCTGCAGCAGAGAGGAGGAAATGCAGGAGTCAGAGAAGCAGAGGTGGCTCTTTACTGAGTATTTTGGAACTTCAAAAAATAGATATGCGCTTAGTTGTGATGGAAAGTGTTTTGAAGTCACTAGCCATGCCCAGTCCAAGTGCACTTAGTGGTGTAAAGGGAAGGATTAAAATATCACATTAAGATCAAACAACTGCAAGGAAAACTTATCCGTGGTGCCTATCTCCTAGCTGGCCCGCAGCAGATGGGAGGCTGTTACCAGCAGTACAGGTCTTTCCTTCCCTCAGATGCATGGACACCGACATTTTAGGGTGTCCCAAAGTGAATTCTGTTCGACGACGACTTCTACCCACCAACAGATCTACGCCTGTACTAAACTCCCGCTTCTGCTCCCCTCACCCTCTCCATTGCCGCACCACTCACTCATGGGCTTTATGCTCCATTGGGTCACAAACCGATTGCTGCAAAGACAAGAGGATGCTGTCAAGCCCGTCTTGATTTGTGGCCCATCAGGTGTAATGCCCTTCTACAGCACTCTCCTAAATGTGCCTGATGCAGCAGGAAATCAACCAAGCCTTGGGAGAGCCCCCAGCTAATTGTGCACCGCACTCTCAGAGAGGGAAGCGTTCCTCGCTGACCCCCGAAGGCAATCAGCTTATGCCCTGAAGCGTGCAGGTTGAGATCCCGTGTAACTAAAGGGACTTAATGACTTTGCATAAGCTTTAAGTCTGGCAGTATAACCTGCATTCCCCGCACTGGCTGCAGAAGCGTTTGATGGCGCGGAGCACTTGTGCTAGGGCGACAAGGCCGGCTCCTGCAGCCCCCATGAAACGGATCCCCCTTGCTGTGGCATCCAAGGCTGACTCTGTTTTCCACCTGGGAGCACAAGCTCACCTCATTCACCAGTGAGCAGCTTTAAAAACAGACAGCTGCTACCAGGCCATCTCTCATTGTGCAAGGATTAACTTGGAAAGTTTGTTCTCCTGGAAAACAGGAGCAAGTGACTAACTCCTGTGCCGAGAACCAAGCTGGTTTCAGCAGCACCTCTGAGGGATGTTGTTTTTCCCTGTACCCCCATGTTTTTTGTACCAGGTCCTGCCATGGGAAAGGTTCACAACTGAATAATCAGCCAAATAAAGACTTGAATTGTAAAATTCCCCGGATACATGGGCACCAGGCGATAAGGAACAAGTCATTTACTCTGAGGCACACGTTGCAGTTCAGTATGGAGGCAGGAGATGTCTTGTTAGCAGAGAGGTGAAGAACTCAGAGATTTTGGTGGAATCTTTTCAGAGAATGGTTTCCCAAGCTAAAAATACAACGTGTTGCATGTGTGCTCCAGATGATAACATGCCCTGCTTTCATTATACTGCAACCATGGCCTTGGCTGAGAAATACAATGTCATTGCTGGAAAAGCCACTTTCCCTTGAAGTTCAAAGACTGTCACTACCCAAGATGGTTGCAGGCAAAAATCTGGCCGATTGTAAGAGCATCAGAACTGTCGATTCCCTCCTCCTTTGGCGAGAAGCCCAGACAAAGGTTCCCACTGAGAGCTGTCAGCAGGATCAAGGGGTTTACTACGAAAAGGCAGTAGTTGTGTCTGCCCTCGTGGCTTCTTCATGCCTTGTGTCAGTCGTGGATGGAAGTTGATCAAATACCCATCCTTGTTCTCCAGTTCATCCCCATCCCACCTCCTTCTCGGCTGCAAAGCCGTGGCTGCACAGAAGAACAAATGAAAGGGGTAATATTTGTTTCTGTGACTCGGGGGCCACTTTGTGGCAAGTTGCAGGAGAATTTGCATGACTTAGTGCAATTAAGCGAATAGGCCAACTCCTACCGATGCAGTTTAGCAATGCCAGCTTGCATAGCTGTACTGTTTTCTCTGGAATTACATGTAAATTCACAGCCTAACCCTGGGTTGTCGCCTTTGTACTGCCGGTTTCTCCACCAGCTTTTGTGTTTTAATTATTCATTTTGATTGTAATAAGGGGTAGCAAATGTCCCCAAGACACAGTAAAACAGTTCAACTGCAGAATGCCCTTGGCAGCTGAAATTAATTTCACTTGAATTTGGGGTCAAATCTTCCTGGCTTTATTCAGAATCGCCAGACTTCAACTGGACATTTTTGTCTGAGAAAGAGCTGTAGGGATTCTGTCCCGAGACCAAGAAAGCTGATGGTTCTGGCATAACTGTTTAAAATCTATTACATTGCATTAGTTTCTCTTTCCTGAGGAGCTGAAATGGAAAAATGGGGAGTATCACGTGTCTGCAGTGTTTAACCTTGGTGCAAAGCCTCATTAGCAAAGTTTTGGTGGCTCTTTGGAGAAACGAAGCTTTAGTGAAGCACTAATCCTTGCGATGATGACAACAGACAACAAAGGTCAGGTGAAATTAGGATATTTTGTATTTTAGCCACTTTTCCAACATTTTTTATAGGATCCCTATAAATGTAATAGGCTCCACGCTCAGCAATGCACCGGTATCCATATAAAATGCCTCTCCCACTTTTTTTTTTTTTTTTGCAGGGTTACTTTTTTATGAGCCTGAAGTAATAAAATTTAAAATTGCTCTCCGCAAATTCTTCCAGCTTCGTCCCCCGTCTCCGCGGACCTGCTGCGAGCAGGATCCAGCGATTTTATTCCCTCTGGAGAGAGCACGCCAAGTATCGGTGTCGAGCTGCAGCAAGGAGACTGGTGAAACCAGCCCCACAGTCTAATTTCTCCTCTTTCCCTCCACCCACCCCCTCCTTTTGTTTGAATCCTGCTCCTGGTTGGGCTCAGCATCGCACCTCGTCGGAAGGACAAGATCCTCCTCTGCTGGCCGAGAGCAAATACGGCACGGCGGGCGGGAGGCGCTGCCCTGCCTGCACCCCTTCCTGCAGCCCCCTCCTGCAGCTCCCACCCTGCATCCCCCAGCCCCTGCCCTCCTCCTAACAGCCTCCTCCTGCATCCCCCAGCCCGTGCCCTCCTCCTAACCGCCTCCTTCTGCATCCCCCAGCCCATATCTTGCATCCAGCATTCCTCATCCTGCATCCCGAATCCCTCGTGGCACGGAGCAAAGAGCGACCTCGAGCTTCTCCCTCCTCTGCTGCACACCACCATGGAAAGCTGCAGGCAGGGAGAGGCTAAAATTTGGTTCTGTGCTGGCTGGACCCTCAGATGGGAGGAGAAAAGTCTCTGCGCTGAGAGGTCAGCTCTGCCTGGGATTTTGTCCCTGTGACTGCTGCTGCTTGTGACAGGAAAGTGAGGGGGAAAAGCTCCAGGACAAAACGGGACACTGGAGCCTTATATAAAGGTTGGGTTTAACTCTTGGGTTCTCCATGCCGGGTGCTCCAGGGGCTTTTATTCCCAGTAACATTTGCACTGTGGCAGAAGATTGAGGCTTTCACCCAAAGGCACGAATCAAAACTTGGGTCTTAGCCACCCTAGAGTACCAGCCATGGCCTGCCCTGAAGGATGTTACTGGAAACCTGCACGTTTTCTAGGGCACCCGTTGATTGCAAAGAGGGAGTTTAGGGTATCTGCCCTTTTGCAGTCAGCTCTGCCCGTGGAGGAGTTCTTGCACAGGAGGGCTCAGTGGGTCACCTGGAAAAGAAAGTAGTGTAGTAAAGTACTAGGTCTCTCACCTTTCTTCTTTTCTTGGTGCATGAGCCATCCTGTTGGGCGTTGTGAGGCTGTCATCATCTCTGCTCTACAGCTGGGGGAAACTGAGGCACAGAAGAGCACAATGCAGTCGTGTCCTGTACCCCGTTCAGCCTGGGCTGAAACCCTCTGGCATTCCAAAAGCAGAGAAAACCCTTCTGCCTCCAAACCCTCTCCAGTGCCATCGGACAAACAGCGCAACCAGGCACTGTGGAGCGCTGGGGAGGGAGATGAACTGTTTCTGGCTCCGTGCTGCTCCCATTGCTGCTTCCTTGTTCTTTGTTTCATCTACTGCTCCAGAAGAAAGGAGGACACTTGCAGGGTTTGTTTGGGTCTGTGTTTATGGATGCATGCTACCACTAATTGTAGATGGAGCAATTAGACCTTTTCCTTTTACAGTCTCCATTGCATCCAGGATCTGGCAAAGGATCTGATGAGCCCTGTGCCTGCACTCGAGAAACACACATGCCAAGGGCAGAGCTTTTTACAGCCTTCTCCTTTACCGCCATCTCCGCGCTCATTCGGGAGGGGCAATGGTGGGAGTGCGTGTGTCCTTCCAGCTGCAAAGGATTTAGTTACGCCTGTGTGTGGCTCACTTCAGCGCACCTGGAAAGGGGCTCCGCCGAGCGGTAAAACATTGCTCTCATTAAAGGCGGTGGGAAAGGGAGCGCTGGAGTTGTCTGTTCTCCCTGGCTCAAACACAAGAGGGACGCAAATGTGCCTGAAGCAAAAATTCATTTATATATTCCAGATAATATTCGCAAATGTGAATTCTGAGCTTTTTTCTTTTTTTGTCCTGTTTCTTATGCGTTGCATCTGATTCGTTCGTTCTTTGTCACAACCAGTGCCAGCTGACAATGTCTTTCTCCTATATACCATTTCTATATATAATGCACAACTAAACAGGGTGTGTATTTACAGCTAATTGTATGTGTAAAAATGCATAGGTGCATATAATAATCATATTTGAGTGTATGTGCATCTATACTGTCTTGATTATGAGTGTTAAATCGTTTGGAAATACCTTTTCTTCTGACAAATTATGTGAGGGATGAAGAGTGGGAGCCTCAAATCTCCTTCTCTACACTCACTGCTGGCACATATATTCCTGTCACAGACAGGTAATCCTGTCCACAGCTGGGATTTAGAGCAAGAGGGAAAGCGAGCTGAAATCTTCATGTGGGGGATGCATCCCGGTGTGGAGTCAGTGCATCTCCTTTCAGACAAGCCTCACTCACGCTCTTCAAAGGCTGAGAGCTGTTTTCCTTCTTCTGTTCCCTTTTGTCACTTGCCCTTGATGGTGAGCCAAACAGGAAAGGCTGGAGCCCCACGTCGGAGGTCGGACACATGGTATTTCCTCACGGGAAGTGCCAGAAACGTTCTCCTCCATCCAAAGGTTGTTGACAGCCTTCCAGCTCAGAGGTCCAGATCCCACCGGCTGCGCTGGGCGCAGGCTCCCGGGCCGTGCCATGCTGTCTGACCTCCGCTCTGCCCTCCCCACTGGCTGTGTCAGCCAACTGGATGGTGGCCTTTGTCTGTATTTCAGAGGAGTTAGACAAATAGTCGGCACACAGTCACTTAATAAGCAAAAAAAAAAGCAATTTAACTAATTCAGGACAGTTTTTTTGCCGAAGCTCACCAGCCCTGCGGCTTGGGCTGGATGCTCAGAAAAGCCAGAGCTCCTACATGAGTGGTTGGCAGCAGTGGGTTTCTTAAGACATTTTGATAATCTTTTGAAAGAACTATTAAAATCCAACCTCATTATCTCCAAAATGGGTAACAAGCTCATCTGGATGTTCAGCAGTGGGGCAAGCAGAAACTTTGTGTCATAAACCAAGCTCCGCGCTGGCTGTTTCTTCCCCAGAAACTGATTCTCTGACCGTTTTTTATCTCTCACAGGCTTCTGGTTTCTTCTTCCTGGCTGACCTGCTGAATGGTAAGTGTTTCCATTTCTTCACTTTAACTTCTGCATACAAAACTGAGAGGTTGGTGACCTGGTCAATAAGAGCCTTCGCTAGTGCCCAGGACTGAGTTTTATGCACCGTTTGCGGAGCTTAAAATAAGGCCTAGGCGCAAGTAGAAAGGCTGATTTTGAGCGCTTTCAGACCTCCACACGGGCTCTGTGTCAGTGTAGGAGGCAACACTGCATCAGGTCCCAGCCAGGACCTGTCTGGCACGCTGGAGCCCAGAACAGAGGCATGGCACTGGTACCGATTTGCCGCTGATCACGGTATACTGCTACGCAACCTCAACTCACAGATCTGTTCCAAGTCAGGACTTGGCCACTCCGTGGCCTTTTGTACGCAACACAGCTTTGGGGACCCACGGGTGACACAGTACGAGAAGTCCTGGTGCTGGGCTGCAAACCTCACAGAAGGATAAGCAAAGACTCTATCTGTGCATGCAAATTGAAGGGCAAATAAATGAAGGCCAACTTTCTCTCGCAACATACAACTAATAGCGCAACGTATTTCTGAAAGGTTTTCTCCAATGTGCAAGGAAGTTCAGAAAGTGTTTGCAAGCTCATGCAAGAAAAATCATTGAAGGCTGTGTAGCATTAAGATGTTGATAAGAGAAAAGCTGTGATGAATGTTGTGTGAGGATCTGTAGATACTGTGTGAGGAATTGTACATCCTTTCACAGCCCACTTGGACTATGTAGAGGATATGGTTTCATTGCTAAGTTTAGTATTTTTGCACGTAAGCCCTGTGCCTTCTTTTCTTGATTTCAGCGGCTCTTAGATCTGAGCTTATAATTTATAGCTAATAAAGTATTACATTCATTTTTCTCTTTTTTCTGAAGAAAAAGAAGTAGTGTGGCTTTTCTTATGCGTTCATTCCTGTTCATTCCAGTGTTGTTTTGGCTTCCAGGTCAAACCTGCGAGTCCAGCAGCCTTGTAGCTCATACAGCACTGCCTATTGCTCTGAGTCAACGTTGCACTTCTAAAATGTGTGTGGAAAACAAATGCCCAGATCATTCCTACATCAGAGCTCAGTGTTCAGCTTCTGCAAGTATTTGGCCACGGAGCCATGTAGCTGGCTTCAGGCTTTTCCGCACAAGCTTTGTGCAAACCAGCTGTTTTGTTTTCCAATGATGGAGCTTTCACAATTTCTTAATTCATTCCCTCGCTGATACTTTACAACCCTTACCTCTGTCCCTCCATTGGCCCTGCAGTCTCCCACTTCCCATCTGGCCCTGCGAGTCCCCTCTCTTTCAGCCATCATCATCTGCCTTCATCCAGCGCTCATCCCTCTGAGGAAAAGGCACTGTAAAACTGCTTTTAAGTAACAGCACAAAACTATTTGAAAGGCTGGCTGGCTTTGTTGCGAGCTGCTCTCACTTCTTTCGCAATTTCTTTCTGAAGCCGCAGATACTCCCAGCCACGGCCCGCGTGGAAGGGAGGAAATACCGTGAGGTCTCGTCTCTGCAGAATTAAATGGGGGACATCTCATTATTTAAAATACAGTCAGGATTTCAACCTCATAAAAATAACACTACGTTCTTCTCAGTGCTGGAGAGAAGAAGTATTTAGAAAGGTGGCAGGAAAACTCATCCTGCTTAAATTAGTCTAGATCCCAGTCAATCCCCAGAGGTTCAGGGAGCTGGAATAAACGCTGGGTACTTTCTGGTGCTCTTGATGTGTGTTGGCAATAGGCTTTAACTTTGCACATCACTCATCTTGACAACTGCAGTCCAACAAAGTTACCTCGCAATTCAGGTCACTCAATGGCATCCTAATGCATCACTGTCCTACTCGGAACATTAGTCACGACTTGATCCAGAGAAGGTTTTGAAAACAGTGTGACTGCCAGCCTTGGGATATCTGTTCTCTCTGTAACAGAGAGCCTGTGTAAGCTAATGAACAAGGGGATATTGATCAGAAATCCATCGCTTGATTGACAGTTCTTGGCAAAGTGAAAAACTGCAGATGAAAGCTTGAACAGTTTAAAAGATCACCCAAACCTCAAAGCTGATTTGAAGCTTTAAAAGTCAATCTCTGCCTATCAATTATGGGGGGATTTTTTTGTACTACACAGAGGAAAGTTATTCTTTGAAAATTTGCATGCAGGATGTCTAATTTAATTTCATGTAATAGTCACATTTCAGTGACAAATGTCAGATCACTGCTTTTTTTAAGCATGTTAAGGTTTTCCAGTACTTACAAAGAATGAACACTCTGATTTAGTAATATGTTTAAATCAACCAGTGTATCAGACTTTGTGCGTTAATTATGTGCTCAGATAAAAAATAAGTGTTGTTTTTGCTTTGCTAAACCTATGGGTTGTTATGAATAATTAAAAAAATGGAATGGGAGCACTTCTTAAATAAGAGATGTGGAAGCCAAATAGTTTTTTAGTGTCGAAGCCATGAAAAGTAAGAAGACATCTTTCAGTTTGATATCGTGTACCCAAGTCAGGGTTTTCTCTTCTTTGTTTTTCACTGCTTCATGCAGCTGGGGAGGACACAGGGTTGCTGGGAGATGGGAAGCATCACTCACATGACCCATAGAAGCTATTTTTGTTTCACAGGTCCATAGAGAGGGATGGTTATCAAGCATGGACATTGGTGATCTCTCAGATCAGCTGCACTCTCGTGTCACCTGGGCTGGTCTCCCAGGCAAGCAGCTCAGTTTCCCAGCTCCTACTAGTCACACAGGGGCCAAGGTACCCAAAAGGGTTTGCTGATGTTTTTTGAGCCCTTTCTGCATGCACCCTTAACTTTACAGCTCGGTCATAACATTTCACTTAACGATAATTGTCAGCCCATTAGGGGGGTGGTCAGTGCCATGTGCTCAACCTCAGCCCTGGCCACCCAGACATGCTGCCAAGGTGCAAACCTGGCCTCAGGTGTGAGTTAGCCTCTCCCAAAAATTGCCCGGGAGTCATCTGCCCTGTCTGTGCAAACGGGGGTTTGTGCTCCTCCACCTCCCAGAGCTGCAAGAAGGAGACATTCTGCAAAATGTGAATTGCATCTTGGCCAACTGGGTTTTACCACTGGGATGCACTTAAAATAGTTCATAAAGGGACAGCAAGTAATTTCATAAGTGTTGTTAATAAAAGATTAATTCATTGCTAGGAAATAATGCCAATGTAAGAAAATGAAGTGACGGTACTGTCATTTCTTGACACTAAGCAATTGGTATAAAAATCATGGTAGGTGCTTCTACAGCAGTTTAGCTATTTGTGCTCATTTGGAGCACTTGTTTTTCCTCTGTCGATTCAAGAGAGTCCTCACCAGGCTCTGTAAAGCACACTGGAAATGTTTGCAGTCTGCTTTTGGCAGCCGTAACTCCCATGTTCATCCTTCACAACTTTCACCAGGTATATTTTTCCATAAAAAGGACTACTCTGTCCATCAGAATACTTCTTTAAAGCATCTGTGGAATAAAAGCCAGTGTTCCCCAGTAAGATTTTGCAAATAAACAGAGGAAACAGAATCAGATTCCTTCAGACAATTCCCTCAAACTTCAGTCCGCTTGCAAAATCTCCCCTCCGACAAAGCGAGCTTGCAGGCTGCATTTCAGGCAAACCCCTCTTCTTGTTTTCCTTTCTTAACTACATCACATTAAATTTAATTTTGTTCACTGTAGACAATGTCCTTATCTTCCAGCGAGATCCTTCTGTTCCTCAGCAAGGCACACACTTCTGCAACACTTGCACACTGTCGAGACTCAGCTCCTGTGGAAATAATGAGCTGAGGAAAAGGAGTCTTGACTTGACATAGCAATAAATGAGGTGAAACTTTTCTCTTTTTTTTATTTTTTTGGTGAGAATGAGAGTTGGCATGTAAAAAAAAAAAAAAAAAGAAGAAAAAAAGACGGTTCTATTTTAATATGAAATATAAAACACCTATTGTACAAAAGTGGAATTTTTTTTTTTTTTCCAGAAGCAAAGAAAGAATAAAGATAAAGGCTGCAAGCGAATGAATGAGGAGAGAAAACTAAGATAATGCAGTCGATAATCAGTTCAAGGCAGAGCATTATCCATGGGGCCATCGGTCCGGCCCTAGGGGAGAGCTTTTTAAAATGTCTCTGTACGTAGCTTAGCTTTGCTCATTACCATAGCTTGTCTTTGAAACACCGGAGTGGCTTCCACC